AATAAGATTATAGCAGATACTATACCAAACTTTTTTTTAATATAATTTACACTATATACTCACATATTTAGCTTGAGCTGCAGACAAGATTCATTCATATGTTTCCTTATTATAGTGAGTTTTCTTGTAAAACTTTGGTAACTCAGATAGCTGCCCCTTGTTGGCTCGTGTCTAATTTGATAAACCAAATAATCAATAAACAAAGCCAAGAATCTAATGAAGTTCATAAAGTCAAAGGAACGCATCGCTTTTTCTACTTTAACAGGGATTGACGTAGAGCAACACCTATTTTTTGTCTTCATCTTTTCTCTGTTCGAGATGTTGACTATTGATTGATTCTCTAAGGAAGAATCTGCAATATAACAATGACATGTATCATTAGTAAGACAAATTTAATGCTTGATAATAAAGTAGCATACAATAATGTTAGGGTAGGTTAAACTAAGGGTGTGCATAGGTCGGTTCGGCTCGGGTATACCCTTAGCCCGTCATCCAAACAGACGCCATCGGTTCGGTAAAGCAGCCATCTATCATCGACCGACTCATGTTTCAGACTCGGCCAAATTAAAGACCTCAATTTAGTGGTCGGTTCAGTCGATTCTGAACACCCAGTAGAGAAAGAGATGGAAAAATATATGAAAAATGAAATTGGAATTTCATAATAAGAAAAAAACCTTGAACTCATATAGTTATATTTAAATATATATACACAACTAAGAAAGCAAAAATAGAGAGAAAGTGGTGGAAAATATAGGAGAGGAAATTTCCATCGCCATCACCTTCACTCATCACTCATTAGTGTCGTTGTCGCCACTCAGAGAAGCCACCACCATCAATCATTGTCGGTATTGCCACATTGGAGATGGAAGGAAAAGGGAGAGAAACGATATAAGAGAGAGTGAGATATGAGTATGTGTTTAAATTTCAAAGTGAGAGAAAAAGAGGAGAAAAATAAAGAGACCAAATCTGAGAATAAAAAGAGATAGTGTCTCTTCATTTTTAAAACTTATTACGGTTTATGGAAAATGGGACTTTGAATGTATATATATATATATATATAGAGAGAGAGAGAGGAGTGTAAATGGTTCTGGACAATAACACACCTAGAATGAAGAGATATATATATATATATATATGTATATGTATACAGAGAGAGAGAGAGAGAGAGAGAGAGAGAGAGAATATTATTGTGAGAAGTCGGATGAAGTGGGATAGTTTATGTGTGACAGAGACAGACTGTGAAGTGATAAGACCAAGGTAATAAAAAATTAATATACATCAATACTTATTCAGTCGGATCGGATTTTTTTGGGTGTGAAATCATGTAATTGAATAGCAGAAAATCGCAGTCGACCGTGTTGACTGTTGAAATCATCCATAAGAGCTTGGGTTGGCTCAGGTCAACCAACTTGGGTGGGTTGGTGGGTTACATGTACATCCCTAATGGCAACCAATATTGGATAAGCTGAATCAAGGCTGGCTTCGTGGAAGAGAAGATTATTGTCGTTTGAGGTTATTGCAGTTATGAAATGGTATGAGAATGCACTAAGTTCAAATATTACTGTACTTAGGCTAATCTAGAAGAATATTTCCCTACCTAATGTGCAATTGTGTTCTTGGTTATCATGGAAAGGAAGGGTTAAAACTTTGGAGTATTTACATAGGATTGGTGTGCTTAGTAACAATAGTAACTCACTTTGATTGTTTTGCAAGGCTGAGGTTGAATCACTTGACCATGTACTATTATGTCATTTCACTTAGAATGTTCGGACTGATATTATCAGGTGGTAGAGAGTTGAATGGATTTCCCCAGGATCTGTGAAATAGTTACTGTAACATTAGGGAAGAGATAAATTTAAAGAGTTAGAATTGAAGATTTGGAGACCTCTTCTGTTATCAATTCTTTGGTCTATTTCAAAGCTAAGGAATGATTGTATCTTCAATGAACATATTCAAAATGGGATTATATTTGTTGAGTTGATTAAGACAAGAGTTTCCTTGTAGGTAAAAGCTCATTTCCCATGTATTTTTTTATTTGGTTCATTTAGTGTTCCACTTGTTATCAATAAGAGTTATCCACTTGGTCGGATCGACACCCTTCGGTGGTTGGTTTCTTGTGTACTCCTTCCCTTTAGCCTCATTCAACTCCTTAAATTGTTTGTGCAGGTTATAGGTATAACCACTCAATCTCCGACCAAATTTTGTGTTCACTGTCTTTTCTATATCAACAAGGTCTCCTTGTAAATCAAATTGATCCTGCAAAAAATAGATAAGTCATAAATATTTCCTAAAATAATAATAAAATGTACGATAAATAACTAAGAGATCGTAACTTAATATAAAGATGAGTAAAATGTCCTATACTAGAATAGACAGTGAACTTACATTCCAACGTTGAAACATCACCTCCTTAACTGAGGCATTAACATACTTCCACATATGAACACTTAGATCTGGTAAATGTGTTCGCACCTCTACTTCAATCTTTGAAGTATATTTTGAGGCATACGTTCCTACTAGTGCACGAGATTCTAGAGGGATTGGCAAATCAAGCTTTCCATCTTTATCAACAAAGCCTTGAACCCCTCAAGTCGGGCCACAAACAGGCCTAGTAGTTGATGTTGTGAAACCATAATATTGAATTAGTTAATATTTAGATCTCAAATCAATGTAAATAAGTTTACACTGTTATTTACGTCTATTTATCTTGCATGTGAGATCTTGATTAGGGAGGTTCAGTTTTATGCTAATTTGTTGCCTCTTGATCTGGATTATTTTGATATAATATTAGGGATGGATTGGCTAAGTAAATACCAGACGACTATTGATTGTATGTCCAGGTAAGTTATTTTTTGACCTCCAGGACAATCCGAATTTATTTTTATGGGACATGGGGTAATTACTCCACCTTACTTGATCTCATCTATGAAAGCGTGTAAGTTATTGCAAAAGGGTGTTAAGGGTATTTGTGTAGTATTTTGAATGGACAACCAGCGGATCTGTGTGTTGATTATATTCCAATTGTTCGTGAATTCTCGGATGTCTTTCCATAAGAGTTTCTAGGAGAGCTAGTGAATGGTGGAATTGAATTTGCAATTGATATAGGGTCGGGAACTCAACCCATTTCAAAAACTCCTTATAGAATGCCATCGGTTAAAATGAAAGAATTGAAGGTACAGTTGCAAGACTTGCTTGATAAAGGGTTCATAAACTCGAGTGCCTCTCCTTGGGCGCACCAGTTCTTTCTGTAAAGAAGAAAGATGGGACACTTTGGTTATGTGTTAACTACCAGGAGCTCAATAAAGTAACGGCAAAGAATAAGTATCCCTTGTCTGGAATCGATGATTTATTTGATCAACTACAAGGTGCGCAAGTCTTTTCTAAAATAGATTTGAGATTCGAGTATCATCAATTAAAGGTAAAAGCCGAGGACATTGAGAAGACTAATTTTTGAACCAGAAACAACCATTATGAATTTTTAGTTATGCCATTCGAGGTTACTAATGCACCGGCAACCTTCATGGATTTGATGAACTGTGTTTTTAAACCGTACTTGGATGAATTTGTGGTTGTTTATTGATGACATACTCATTTATTTGAATAGTATTGAAGCTCATGAAAACCATTTACGATTAATTTTTCAAACACAAAAAGAGAAGAAACTATATGCAAAACTAAACAAATGTGAGTTTTGATTACATAAAGTGGTGTTTTTGGGACATGTAATTAATAAGAAGGGTGTTTCTGTCGATCCACACAAGATAGATGCCATTGTGAATTGGCCAACTCCTACGAATGTGATAGAGGTGCGTAGCTTCTTGGGTCTAGCAGGATACTACTGGAGATTTGTTAAAGACTTTTCCAAAATTGCAGTACCTCTTACCCAATTGACCCAAAAGGGTGTTCCGTTTGAGTGGACAGAGCAAAGAGAATCTGCCTTCTAGGAATTGAAGACAAGGTTAACTATAACACCAGTTCTTGCTTCACCGACTAGTACGAAAGGGTTCATGATTTACAATGACGCCTCTTACAAAGGATTGGGATGTGTACTTATGCAGAATGGAATGGTCATTGCATAAGCTTCTCATAAACTCAAGCCGCATGAAAAGAATTATCCCACATATGACTTGGAACTAGCTGCAGTGGTATTTGCTTTGAAGATATGGCGATATTATTTGTATGGTACAACATGTGAGGTCTACACTAACCATAAAAGTCTAAAGTACTTCATTACCCAAAAGGAGTTAAATATGCGATAGAGAGGGTGGTTAGAACTTATCAAAGATTATGACCTGCAGATCCACTACCACCTCGACAAAACTAATATAGTTGCAGATGCTCTTAGGAGAAAAGTTATGGGGAATTTGGCATGTTTGCTCACAGGGCAAAAAGAGTTGCTACTTGACTTGGAAAGCATGGACATGGAAATTGTGTTACGTGATCAAGGCGTAGTGTTTGCGACAATGTCAGCACAACTGATAATAATTGAAGAAATCAAACAAAGGCAAATGGAAGTTGACTTCCTGAAGCAAATTTGTGATGAAATGGAAACAAGGCCAAGGCCTGGGTTCACCCTTGAAAATTCAGGGTTGAAATTTAAAGATAGGTTGTGTGTTCCAAATGTTCCAAAAATTAAACGAAGGATTGTGGAGGGAGCGCATAAGTCTAAATTTGCATTGCACCTCGTTAATACTAAAATGTACCAAGATTCGAATATCACATGAAAAATGGCTTGAACTTAATTCTCAACTTGGTAATTAAAGTTTTTTTTTTTTTTTTGCTATTATGTTTAAGGATGTTGGAGATGCTAGAGGCATCAAGATAAGTTTTGGTTTTTTTGTGAACATACATTCGTTCCCATTTTTTTATGAATTAATTATATTTTGCAAAGAACTAAAACCAATGAATTTGAAATAATGTAAAAATGAAAATATGTGGGCCAAAATGTGCAATAGAATTATTTCCCTCCGCTTCCTAATTTTTTATTCCACTGGAACAAGATGGAACCTAGCTTATCTCCAATTGGAATGAAAATGGATGACTCTCAACCCAAGCTTATTCAGAATTGGCATAAAAATGGAGAGTGCCCACAAGGAACAATCCCCATTAGAAGGACTCAAAATCATGACTTTCATCGAACTTTTCCATCTCACTGGCAAGAAGGACAACATTACTACCCCTTTGGGCAACCACTAGGTGATCATGAGGTACAATTTGAACTTAATCTGAACTTAATGCCTATCTGACGTTTACTCAAAACACAAAACATTTAGCAAAATTTTGTGCATTAATTTATCTTTTGTTTCATTTTAGTATGCCTTTGTTTCTGAAAGTGGTAGTACCTACTATGGAGCGCACACATCATTTAATGTGTGGAATCCTAAGACAGAGGCTAATGAATTTAGCTTATCTCAAATTTGGGTTATCTCTGACGTAACAACCTTGAATATTATTGAAGCTGGATGGATGGTAAGTGTTAACTTGTTTGTGAGGCCTTAATATTTTGATACATTATCAATGACCTATTGTATGTTGAGTCACTGCATATTTATTATGGCATCCTTCAGTAGACACGTTGGTGCATGTTTTTAGGTTAATCCCGGAAGGTATCTTGATAATCAGACAAGGTTCTTTATATATTGGACAGTAAGTTTCCTTAATTTTCTAATCCTCTATTGATTATTTAAAACTTACGATATTAATCACAACATATAACAATTTTTAACCCACATTTGATTCTCATGTTGGTAGTGATGACATATTAATTCAACCTTACTTTACGTTCATGTGGCAAACAGAGGGATAACTATCAAAGCACAGGATGTTATGATCTTGGTTGCCTTGGTTTTGTACAAACAAATCATAAGTTTGCCATTGGTTCCACCATAAACCTATTTCCACCTACAATGGAAAGACATTCGACATATCTATACTGATATTCAAGGTATATATATATATATATATGCTACAATCTATTTAACTAACAACTTGTAAACCTTAAATATGACTCAAATTATTTACTTGGAAACACTTTTAGTTTTGGATTTTTATTTTTATTTATGTATTTATTTATTTTTATTCTTTTGATAACTTAGTATCAGTCCCACTAGACCAACTAATTCCGGAGATCAATCCATCATCCACGGGTGAGGGGGCCAACCAAGACAAAACTCTATATGGACTAGTCCCAAAAAAGTTATTTGCACTTATAGAAGGTTTTGAACCTAGACTTTGGAAAAAACACACCCCTGGTTGTTATGATCTTAATTGCCCCGGTTATGATCTTACGTTCATGTGCACTTACGTTCATGTGGCAAACAGAGTGATAACTATCAAAGCACACGATGTTATGATCTTAATTTCCCCGGTTTTGTACAGACAAATTATAAGTTTGCCATTGGTTCCACCATAAAACCTGTTTCCATCTACAATGGAAAGACGTTTGACATATCTATATGATATAGAAGGTATATATATGTATATATATGCTACAATCTATTTAACTAACAACTTGTAGACCTTAAATATGACTCAAATCATTTTCTTGGAAACACTAGAAGAACATGCGGTTTTCTTTTAGTTTTGGATTTTTATTTTTATTTTTTTGTTAACTTAGTGTGGTGAAATGGATTTAGAAAAACTCTCTCGTTTAAACAAAACTCTCTCCCTTCATCTCTTCTCTGTCACCCCTTTCATATTGCTCTCCGTGGACCCTCTCAAGGCCCACTACCCTCTCCTAGGCTTTGACTTCGTTCCTAGGCCTTTTACACAGCCAACGGGTTACACGGCTCTCATAGCCCTTCAACTCGGTTGTACTCGACTATGGCCCTCCACTGGACCTAGCATGGGCCGACTTATATGCGGCTAGCTGATGGGCTTGGTGTGGAACCTGTGGCATGGGCCGACTTATATGTGACCAGCTGATGGGCCTGATATGGGCCGACTTGTACCCGACCAGATCATGAACCTCAGGACCGTATTTATTTGGCCACCACACTTAGTATCAGTCCCACTAGACCAACTAATTCTGGAGATCAATCCATCATCCACGGGTGAGAGGGCCAGCCAAGACAAAACTCTATATGGACTAGTCCCCAAAAAATTATTTGCACTTATAGAAGATTTTGAACCTAACACTTTGGAAGAAACACACCCCCGGTCCTAAGGTTTGACCACTAGGTCAACTCCTTGACTTTTTTTGAACAATTTATACCTACTGTTTATGTAGTTTGCCTTCTGTCAATTTTAGTCATGATTATTACAATAATTTTATCTTTAAATTTTTTACATTATGTCAATTTGGTCTAATTGATTATGTCCCTTTAAAAATTAAATTGAAATCTAGGAACAAAATAGTTCAGTCAATCTTCTCATTATGATTGAGTGGTTGGTGTTCAATTGGAAATAGTCTATTTCCTTTTGAATGAACTATTTGTTCTTGATTTATGTCCAATTTCTAATACGTGTTATCAATTGGACTAAAATGACACTACACAATCAAATTGACACAAGATAAATTACAAAAATCATAGGTACAATTTTTCCAGTTCTTTACAAAAAATTATATGGTAAATTACATTTTTTACCATAAAATTTTCATCTAATTTCATTTTAGTACCTCATCTTTTAATTTAAACAATTAATGTTAAAACTTTAACTTATGTTTCAATGTCGTCCTCTTGACACTTACAATTTCAAATTTGTATGAAAAATGCTCACGTCAGCACATTTTACAAACATTATAAGAAAAAATCCATATGACAATTTACACGTTCATTCATAAACTTTCACTCAAATTCTACTTTGGTTCTAAATTTTTAACTTAAATCAAATTTCAAATGAAGGAGTAATAGGAGGATCTCATTGAAACACGTGTTGAAATCAAAAGATTTAATTGTTACAATTAGAAAATATGGGATAAAAGTGAAATTTGGCTGAAAGTTCAAGGTTGAAAAATTAGTTTACCAAAAAAATATATGAAAAATAAACAAAAGGGGGTGCAAAGATCTATATCATCTTCAAGAATATAAAATTTTTGCGATGAATTATGGTGTCGCTCAAGGTCAAAAATTCATTGTCATAGGTTTCAAGCAACGAGAGCAATTTTGTTGTTTCCTTGTAGTGCTTAATTTAAAATATTCAAAACTAATTTTTCATATTGAAATAAGTCCATCCAAAGTAGCTGATTTTCCAATATTAACGAGAAATGTATTAGGACAACAACACTGGAAATTGATGGCTTCAGGTGCAAGATGTGGTATTAGGTTACTGGCCTGGTTCCATCTTCATAGACTTAGCTGACAGCTCTACGATAGTGACATGGGGAGGAGAGATCGCCAATGTAAGATCAGCACAACATCACACGACCACTCAAATGGGGAGTGGCCATTTTCCCTTCGAAGGATATGGAAAATCAAGTTTTTTCTATAATCTTAAAGTCATTGACAACTCAAACACTCAGCAAGATCCAGTTTCCCTTCAACCATATGTTACAGATTCTGCATGCTATGATTTACATGTTGAGGAAAACAAAAATACTAATCTCGGAACTTATTTTTACTATGGGGGTCTGGGATATTCGGCACAATGCCCATGATGACCAGCAAATTAATGTATTAAAGAAGAAAAAACATTCATTGATTTAAAGTTTATATGTTAAATAAATTTTGTTTTCATTTTGTTTTCCCTTTAGTTTGGTAGCTAATTTGATAATACGTATATTTCCGACAAAGGGTGGGTCGGACTAATCCACATTTTTAACTGGTTTGTTGGTCTTGAAGCCAACAAGATGTGCTTGCAAAAAGGTCCAGAAGGGGTGATAATCCCCCGGCAGACCCTTCGATAATCGAGTTAGAATAGGATAGATTGATTGAATAGAGAGAGAAGAAGGGAACGAAGAACTTAACCTTTTATGTGTCTTGGAAACTTCATTATATCCTCTGCTCAACATTTCCTTGTCCACTCCAGACTATCGTGTTGGCCGAAAGTCAATATTCTAGCATGTATCGTTGATGGTGAGTCTGTATATTCCGACGTAAAGGGGTTGTCGTATTTAATGCTGCGAGAGCCTCATTAATGGCAGATGTATGAGTACAATAACTTTGCAAGATCTTTATCTGCTTATGTGGCTAGGCCTCTGCTTGACAAGCGTTTGAATGCTATTGGTCCTAGACCATCATTGATTTCTCAAGATTACTGGGATTTAATATCTAGCATGTGGGTTGGGTCCTGAGTCGTGGGTCAGACCCTCTTGTGGGCCCACCGATATCATAATTAAACACTATTTTTCTATTGCACTATTTCTTGCAAAAGAATTGTATTTGTAGTTTAAAACGATTTGATCACATATATGTCTATTTAGTGATAGAGGAAAACCCAGAGCTTTTTTTAGTGAGGCCAAAACAAGTTGATAATGTACAAACTTGATTTACAGACTGATGATATCAGTTACTAGAGAGAGATCACTGTCACTCACCATAGATTTACAACATCCAAGCCCATGAAAATTAGAATACCAGTATGACAATAGATGAAGAAATATAGAGAAATAACAAGGAGATCAGACAATGGCAATCTGATCAACAGAAAACAGGATTCATAAGGAGAGGAAACCATAACCCGCCCTCCGACTATTGTAAGCAATTCATGTCTTACTATTCCAGACATACAATCTACAGTCATAATTTCTATGTGACATGGATATAGAACATGTATATCACAATATAGTATCCAAGTTTATACAAACTAGATGCTCCTCGGGCGTATATCAAATAAAAGTGGGCATTCCCTCTCATAACAAAGGTCACAACCATATAAAACACTGGGCATGTGGCCCACCATCCAAACTTAAAAATAATTAACAACAAAAGAGTGGACAAAAGTCTAGTATAGAGATTTTTAGCATAAATTATATGAATAAGGCAATGAATGTGATCATGTGTATTTTTTTTTTTTTTTTAAATTTTCTTGATAGAAATTTTTTTATTAAAAATATGAAATTTAAAGGTACAAGGAAAAAAATAAGCATTGGGAGAGATTTAAAGAGTACAAACTCTCCTACTAGTACTACTCACATCTTCACAACCAAACCCTCAGCCTCACATTTTTATATTTATAAAAAATAAAAATAAAAAAAAATACACAAAAAAAATTACAAACCAAACTCGCCGATTTGTCTCACCCCCAATATAATTAAAGATAAAGATAGGTCACCACAAAACTTGTCCCTCCCCACCCTATCCCGTCCCGTTGTCATCCATAAGGATTAGGTAATATGTGTGAAAGCAATACCTTTTTCTCTTTTCATTCTATTTGTTTAACGTGAGATTTTTTAGTAACTTGCTTTCTTTTCTTCCCTTTAATTTTAGGAAGAAATTCAATACACTGGGACAGATAAAAAAAGTTACAAAATCATATGGAGTACAAGTGGTTTCGTGATGGGGTGCAAGTGAAAGGTTGTGGGAATGCAAATGTGACTTGCACTCCTCCATGTTTGTGTTAAAAAAAATAAATAAAAGATGCTAGAGATCTCAAAAGTTGTGCCAAAATTTCTACCAAATGTCTCATATGGATGTAGAACCCACACTATGTGGATCTCATATAGGTCTCGCACTCATATGAGACATTTGGTAGAAATTTTAATAGAACTTTTAGGATTTTTGACATTATTCAATAAAAAAAAAAAATTTCTCCCACTAGGATGTATTCCCTTTTATTTTATTTTTTACACACAAATACTATACATCATTTTTTATTTTTTGTCATCTTATGCATGGTTGGATGAATAAAAATTAATTTGCACATTATTATTAGTCAATTGTTAAAAACACTTTTAATTCCAAAGATAATGGTTGAATTATCGACTACATTAACTATCCTAATATCCAAATCTACAGTAATCTTTATAAAAATAAAAAATAAAAAATTATTAGAGCAATGCCAGAGAGACAAAAAAATTACTCCTTTTGTCCCATATTAATGGTCTTTTTTGCGAAAATTGATTTTTGAAAATTACCCTCTAATAGTACATTTTTTTTGGGAAATATCAATGTCATAATTGTACATTTTATGTTAATAAATTTAAAAGAATGAAAAAATAGGAAATTTATATTATATTTGTACTTAATTTTTGAAAAAAGACTAATATTTTGGGACAATAAAAAATGGGATAAGGGACTAATATTTTGAGATTGAGGGAATATCAAATATTCACATGAGTGTAGGTCCCACTCACATAAACGTGGGATAAGGGACTAAAAATGGCTTGAGCTTAATTCTCAACTTGACATCAAGATAATTGTTGAATTTTTTATGAACATACATTTGTTCCTTTTATTTTTAATTAATTTTATTTTGCAAGGAACTAAAACTAGTGAATTTGAAATAATATAAAAATGAAAATATGTGGGCCAAAATGTGCAATAGAATTATTTCCCTCCGCTACCTAATTTTTTTATTCCACTAGAACAAGATGGAACCTAGCTCATCTCCAATTGGAATGAAAATGGATGACTCTCAACCCAAGCTTATTCAGAATTGGCATAAAAATGGAGAGTGCCCACAAGGAACAATCCCCATTAGAAGGACTCAAAATCATGACCTTCATCGAACTTTTCCATTTCACCGGCAAGGAGGACAACATTACTACCCCTTTGGGCAACTACTAGGTGGTCATAAGGTACAATTTGAACTTAATCTTAACTTAATGCCTATCTCATGTTTACTCAAAATACAAAACATTTAGCAAAATTTTGTGCATTAATTTGTCTTTTGTTTCATTTTAGTATGCCTTTGTTACTAAAACTGGTAGTACCTACTATGGAGAGCACGCATCATTTAATGTGTGGAATCCTAAGACAGAGGCTAATGAATTTTGTTTATCTCAAATTTGGGTTATGTCTGACAAAACAACCTTGAATACTATTGAAGCTGGATGGATGGTAAGTGTTAGCTTGTTTAATTGATACATTATCAATGACTTATTGTATGTTCAGTAACTACATATATAGTAATTGCATCCTTAAGTAGACAAGTTGGTGCATGTTTTTAGGTGTATCCCGCAAGGTATCTTGACAATTAGACAAGGTTCTTTATATTTTGGACAGTAAGTTTCCTTAATTTTCTAATCCTCTATTGATTATTTAAAACTTATGAAATTAATCACAACACGTAACAATTTTTAACCCACATTTGATTCTCATGTTGGTAGTGATGGCATAGTAATTCAACCTTACTTTACGTTCATGTGGCAAACAGGGAGATAACTATCAAAGCACAGGATGTTATGATCTTAGTTGCCCCGGTTTTGTACAGACAAATCATAAGTTTGCCATTGGTTGCACCATAAAACCTGTTTCCACCTACAACGAAAAGGCATTCGCCATATCTATGCTAATATACAAGGTATATATATATGCTACTGTTGGCTACATATTTTGTATAAGCCAATTACGATTCGACGTGTGGCAGAATAAGGGTAATACAGGAAGACTATTCAAATCTTCGATCATGATCGTACACGTGGCAGTTAGTATTGGTTATTATGAGATCTTAGTAGCATTGGATCAGCAAAGAGATGCAAGGTGATATGGCTTCAACGGTTACTCACATTCAAATTCAAAATTAGGTGGGAAGCCTAATTGCAAGTAATGGCATAGTGGAGCTAATTATAAGGCACCCTGATCAGCGATCATGGAGGAGCAGTTTGACGGTTGGAAATGCAGTTCGTGTCACGACCCCATCCTGCTCCTAGTAGAATGGTGCCGTGATGGCCAGTAATCCGAGTTTACCAAAGGCCAACTGACAAGGATTCACACACCATTAGAGTATACGTATGGGGCTTATATGCGCGGAAGCAATAAATTTAAATCTAAGTAGTCCATAAGAGCTGTGCATAAATCAAATGAAATGACATACATCTTAACATAGTTTACAACTTGGATACAAATAAAATAAAGTACAAAATACATCTTGATCAAAAGGCTTCTCAAGCCGACATATACAAAAGAAATAACTACAAGCCAAGAAGCATAATCTTCAAGATGCTACAAAACATGAATCAAAAAACATCTTGAAACAATCATCTAGGCGTCACCGCCTTCCTCCTTCTTGCTCATCACCTACATATATATATATAGAGGGTGAGCTTGGATACTCAGTGAATGATACCAGTAATAAAGGTTTTGCATTAATGATATTCAAGATCTCTTTTCTAAACAATACATAGCATAACTTATACAAAATCCAGGGATGAACCAAGTCCATCAATCAAGTCTTTCAAATCTTCAAGGGATGCTTATTAGCATCAATATAATACAAGGGATGACATTCCGGACAAACAAACCCACGCGAAAAACCGTCAGTGGCAAAACAAGGGTACAGTTGCATTATAGTCCCCTGGCACTAGGGACTTTCAAAACAAGGGTGCAGTTGCATTATAGTCCCCTGGCACTAAGGACTTTCCTAGAATGTCATCAAAATAAATATAATACTAGATACAAAACTACGGACAATCATTCATGCTTGGTCAAACACTTTTCCAAAACAAAGCAAAGCAAAGCTTTTATCAAAACATTATAACATAGCTTTATTAAAAATACCACTAACATAGTTCTTCGGGTGTAAGAATTACAAGCAAGGATCCAAGGCCTACAAGCACATAATAAATCCCATTGAATGCGTTTCAATAAGACAAGGTGAGATGCTCAAAGATGGATATGAAATGCATCCTTAAAACAAGCTTTACATGCCAGGAAAGGATCTCGGCATTTCTTTCAAAATCAAGTCAAAACAAAGCAACACATGCTGGATGTTACAACACTGCCTTTTTATCTCGGAAAAAACATGTTGGGTACTAACCAGGTCTAGGCCGAGGTTCCACACCTCTTGGCCGAGGTCCCACACCTCTTGGCCGAGGTGTGTTCCCGACGACCACATTCAAGGAAATGAAGTCTGGGAAAATCTGGGTTTCCCTCTTGAAGAACATGAAGAGCATGAATGCTAAATTCATAACTTCTTTATTCGAAATCTGAGTTTTCATGAGATGAGTTTGAAAACATGGACCTAGGTACTCATACTTGAAGATTTCATGGAAACAAACACAAAAACATGGAACTTGTTACAAACTTTCGGATCAAAACATGGTTTTATCTCAAAAACATATGAACATCATTTTCTCTTTCTAAAGCAAACTTTAAATCAATGCATGGCTCATGAATCGTACTAGATCATGCAATGCAATCGGATTAACATAAAGAATAACAAGAGTAAATCAAGATTCTAACCTCAAAACACGGATTAAACGGCTCAAACTCTAAAGATCAAGCTTGGGATCTAGCTCTCTCACTCCAACTTCCTCTCCTATTCCTAGAGCTTCTCTCTCTACCATGCAAGAGATATGACACAAAATGATATATTTCTAACTCTGCCGGCTGACTTAACCCTTTGCTGGGACACGTGGCAATGGCTTATTGGATCTCCTAAAAAAGGTGATAGCTTGATAAGACAAGAGCATGACAAAGTGTAAGCAACAAGGTGACATGGGCACTTCGGGGGGTAATGATCTCGGCTAGGACAAAGCTTCGGCAAGTAAGGTCTCAATGATCTCGGCTAGGAAAGACAACACTTGGCCTAGATGTGCCACACCACGGTCTAGGTCGTACCAGTCCAGGGACAAGATCACTTTGGTATAACATCTCGACCTATATAATACACATCTCGGCCTTGGTGATGAACACCTCGGCCTAGATAATGACATCTCGGCCAACATGTCAGGGTGAGGGTGGAGGTCAACCAAAGTGGTTCCAAGATGGTCCTAGGTGTAAGAAGTTCAAAGGTGTAACCTAGGCTTAAAATGACCTCGGCTAAACTCACACCAAGCAAGGAACAAGGCATGCAAGCAACACTTATGCGAAACAAATCAAGGTTTGCAAATACAACTTAACAAGACAAGATCATGTAAATACATGCAAGCATGACTAGAGTAAAGTGAGGGTTGTTACAGTTCGATGGTCATCTTTGAGAAGTACAAATAGCAGAGAAGGCCCTAGAAAAAACCCCTAGACTCAGATCCAAAAAACCAGTCTTATTCTACTTTATTTCCTGTCCTGTTTTACATTTCATGTTCTTTACATTTCTGTACTTTAAAATTCCTGCACTGCACTTCATTCATAGGAGTAGTTTCAAGTAGATTGTTACTGTAAACCTCTACGAGGCTGAGTTTGGATCATTGCAAGTTTTTCATTTTAATGAAATGCTTCAATTGTTCTTCATTTGATTGTTATTTGCTTAATTCTCCTAAATCAAGCCACCAGTAAAAGTCATCTTCATTGAGGCTGAAAGAACTAAAACATAATCATCTGATAATTAGTTGGTAATTAATTTTCTGTAAGGACTGATTGATCCTTGCTGGCACGCTCATAATTACAAAAGTAACCTTCGAAAGCCAAAAAGCGAACATATATTTTTGGTACGCCCAGTGGGACTAATTGAAATGGCTAGACGTAGGAGATAAGGAGAAAATGAACACTTGGAAGAAGGCATGGAAGGAGAGGTAGAAATACCTAATCCAGAGGATAATGTGATAACACATCCTGTGGAAGCACCCAGTTCATCAGAACCTATGGTCGAATAGACCAGCACTTCGGAACAACTACCACATGTTCATAATATTGGACGAGGCCAAGGAATTGGACCATCCACTATTTCATCTACTCAGCCAATAAATCCATGGGGTGGCCTAGTAGATGCTATGGGATAGCAGTTAATGAATACAATGGAAAGATGGGCAACATCCTTTTTGGATCGAATGAATACCCACCAGCCAACAAACACAAGACACATAGAGAAAATTTCAAATGTCCCTCAGCAAAGATTAGCTAGAGATAAACAGCCTATGCAAGTTAATGGACATTCTAATGGTCAAACTAGTAATCAAAACTATGAAAGACCATTACCCCAGTCTTGGTATGAACCTGTTTCGAGGCCTATGGCAGGTCAAAATGCATCAGTACTTAACAGTGAAGCCATGCAAGTTGGTGGATCTGGCCCAGTACAAGAAAATGGCATAAGAATGGTCCCAAATCCAATGTTCGAAGCCATACCTGGCACAAGGGGATTTACTAATCCTTTATTCGAATTCATGCCCGGGGGGTTGGAAGGTTTTCCTACAAATGAAAGAGACACAACACCTGTTCCAGCACCTTTCGCAACTCCTTTCGCAGGACAGGCTCAGAGGGGTTACCCACACCCCCAATAGCAACCGGCACCACAGGGACAACCAGTCCCAAATATACCACCTTATGGACAAAGGGGACCCCAGGCACAAGGTTGTCCACCAAACCTTGTGTTTGTCCCTCCAGTAGTGGTTCAGCAAGCACAAAATATGGTTCCTAGGGATCAAATCGCTGATATTGTTAGGGAATAGAGAGATGTGTGGACCGATGGCTCGAGGGGTCCAGACTCCTGTGTACAGAAAACCGTACCCAGAATGGGTAGATAGGGTACATGAATATCCAAGAGTTTTCAGGATACCAGATTTTGCCCTTTTTTATGGACATGGAAACCAGTCAACAGTAGAGCATATTGCTAGGTTTGCTGCTTAATGCGGTGAATTTACTAATAATGACTATATGAAGTTAAGATTGTTCCCAAATTCTCTAACTGGGAGAGCATTTGTATGGTATATTAATCTTACACCTGGCTCTATCCAAATTTGGCAACAAATGGAAGAGGCATTTCATGCCTAATTCTTCCAATCAGAGCCAGAGGTTTCCATGGCAGACTTGGCAAGATTGAGTCAAAGGCCTGATGAGAAGTTTACTCAATTTATTGCCAGATTTAAAAGAGCATGAAACAAATTTAGGGTCATCCTACCAGAGCCATAATTCGTGAGATTGGCTAAAAATGGCTTAGAGTTTAGGCTTCAAAAGAAGTTTGACTCAACCGAATTCAGAGACTTGGTAGAACTAACTTATAAGGTGTCTAGGTATGAAGCATTACTAGAGGAGGAACAAGATTGAAATAATGCATCATACAAGACATATTATAGAGATCCTAATTATGAGATTCATGCAGCAGAGATTGTGGGGAAAGAACCCGTAATCTGTGAGGCATTAATTTATAAGGGCACAACAATTGACCAACAGTTTAAAAAGAAAGACCTTCATAGGAAATACTCTTTCGATTTAACGAAGGCATATGACATTTTTGATCATTTGCTTGCGGCCAACTTTCCTTAAGTTACCAAAAGGAGTCAAAATTCCATCTCCAGATGAACTTAAAGGAAAAGTGTATTGTAAATGGCATAATTATTGGTCTCACTCGACTAAAAAGTGTATTGTTTTTCGAGACAGGATCTAGGAACAAATTCGGAAGGGAAGTCTAAAACTCCCAGCTAAAGCAGAAAAGGCCATGGGGATCGACAATAATCCATTTCCAGAAGTTGGAGAAAGTGCAACTAATGTTGTTGTACCAAACTTCCAGAATTTATCTTTTGCAGGAATTGGAAGAGGTCAATGTGCAAATGCATGTTGCCAGCCAGGCTACTGTTAAGGAAGACACTAGAAGTCTGCCAGTTGTTGGACAAGGCTCTACAAGTCATGGAAAAGACTGTGATGAAGAAGCAATGTATGATGATTTCTTGGAGGCAGCAGTTATCCAAAGAATGTGTCCCAACTGTAGGTTAAGCTATAAGTGGCTGAAAGGGCTCCCGAATGATGGGAAGCAATACTACAGGGATGTGCAGAGACGTCCTAAACCAACCAGTGCTTATAACAAAAGGCCATACCCAGCTAGTGTTAGGCAGCAACCATTAATGGTTGAGCCAACAGCCGATAGAATGCATTCTAAAGGCAAAAGGCCTTTATATGAGTCCAGGCCACGTAATTATTATAGAATGGAGAGCAGTCATCCTGAAAGGATGTCTGAGAGGGGCTCAGTTTATGGGATCAAAGCCAGAGATTGGCCCCCTAGACCAACATCACGCAAGACAGAAAGTGGCTACCTTCATCAAAGGCCTGAGTTAGGCCCAAAACATGAAGTCAGGGCCAAGCAGTGGCCTTCATAGCTAGCTTCGAAGATGGCTTCGAAGGAGGAAAGAAACAGTTCAACAGCTGAGTCAGTAAGTTCGTGGGTACCTGGAGTTCCAGATTGGTTAGTGATGCAGAACAAACCTAGGGAAGTGTCCACCCAGAGAGATGTTGTTGGAAACCAAGGTAGGATGGTCAAACCTCCTTTGGTGGCTCCAAACAATTGGGTATTGCTTAAACACCCAAAAAACAAAGGAAACGGATATGGTCCCTGTAATTTCTAGATCACAAAGAAGGAAGATTCTGCGTAGGTACACTCTGTACCAGAAAGACCTGAAAGAAAGTGGAGAAAGCTCCTCAATGGTCCAGACAGAAGGAAAGAAGAATCCAAAGTCAGACCATACTCCAAAACCAACTCTACAAGACAAAATGGGTTGTAGCGAAGAACAATTGGCCAAAGTTCACTCTGAACTAAAAGCCAGAGAGAAGTCCAGTCTAGCAAGATTGGAGAAGGCTTTGATGGAGAGTGATAGCGAGACAGAAAAAGAACTTGGCCTAGGCCAAAAGAAAGAAATGGTTGAGGAAGAAATGTTCAAAGCCTTCATGGCTGAACAGACGTTTTTGGTTGAAAAACTAGTCACGAAAGACCATTTGAAGGAGTTTATTAGTAATGAAGTGCCAGAATGCAGCATGGAAGATGTTTCTGAAGTAACTGAACAAGATGGCCAAGAGGAGAAACAGGCATAGCCAACCATCCAATTTGGCTCGTTTCCTCTAGTATCAGTAAATATGGTACACATATTACCGCATGAATTCCAAGCTGGAGATGAGAACCAAAAGGGTCAAGAAATTGACCCAATTCCAGTCTCTAGTAAAGACTCACAAGTGAGTATGGTGCAAGATGAATCTGAAATGGCTACCCTAATGGAAACTAAATACGAGAGTGAAGAAGAGGTGAGTATCAACCTCTCATAGCCTTTTGAGTATCCCTCGAACTCTATGACACAGCATGTCAAGCCGTTGTATATAAAGGCCTTCTTCGATGGGATACAATTGAATCGAGTCTTGGTGGATAATAGGGCAGCAGTGAACTTACTACCGAAATCTTCCTTAAAGAAACTAGGGAAAAGGAACCCCAAGTTAATCCTAACTAGCACAACCATTGCTGGCTTCGCTGGAGACAAACAGATGGCTCAGGGAATTCTACCCATCAACCTGAGTGTGGGAACCAGGGACTGCATGATGGCATTCTTCGTTATCGATAGCAATGCTAAGTACAATGCTTTACTTTGTAGAGATTGGATTCACACTAACAAGTGTGTGCTTTCCTCTTTGCTTCAGAAAATAATGATGGCCTTGGGCAATGGAGAGACAGAGGAAATTGATGCAGATCCTCAACCCTTCATAGCCTGTGCAGACTTCGCAGAGGCCAAATTGTATATTGAGGGAGTGACACCACTCAGTATATTGAGAAAACTTGATGGCTCAGCCGAAGTGACTACTGATGAGGAAGTGACACACCTGAAGCACTTAGTCCATGAGAGTGCTGATGAAGAGGTTGTCGTTAAGGATGACAATGATGCCTGGTTGTAGGCAAAGAAATGAAGCCCAAGAGGCCAAGTCTTTGGCTCAAATTAAGTTCTCAATATTGGATGTAAAATCAATAGTCCATAAAGTGCAAGAGCAAGAGAAAGAAACCATGATAATTGGCTGCAAGCAGGAGCAGCAACAGGCCAGAGTTTTAGCCCTTGATAAATACTATGCTTTGGACATTGAAACAAAAGTCCAGGAGATACAGGAAGAAGAAGCCTTATGGACAGACATTGTCTATGAGGAGGAGGATAAAGATGTTGAATCAAAGAACCTGGGAGCAAAACAAAGCAAGGAGATTGCTTCAAAGCCAAAAGAAATCAAAGAAGGAGCTTCAGTAAGTTCTCAGATACAAGACCCCTTAGAAGAAGTAAATTTAGAGGAAGGTTCTATACAACAGCCCATCTATATAAGTGCTTGATTGAATTCTCTTGACAGGAACCAGTTGTTGGTTGTTCTTAAGAAATATAAAGATTGTTTTGCATGGTCTTATAATGAACTACTAGGATTGGATAGGTCATTAGTAGAACATAGGCTCCCTATGAGGCCTAATTTCAAGCCATACAAGCAAAAACCAAGAAGAATGAGTCCAGAAGTGATTCAGAAAGTTCAGGAGGAAATTCTTAGACTACTCAAGGTAGGCTTTATTAGGACAGCTAGATATGTTGAATGGCTATCCAATATTGTGCCTTTAGTTAAGAAGAATGGTAAAATGAGGGTATGCATTGATTTTAGAAACTTAAATCTAGCAACTCCAAAAGATGAGTATCCTATGCCTATAGTAGATTTATTGGTAGACAGTTCAGTAGGGCATCAAATTTTATCAATGATGGATGGCCACTCTGGTTATAACCAAATCTGCATTGCAGAGGAGGATGTTCACAAGACAGCATTCAGATGTCCTAGGAATATTGGCACCTTCAAATGGGTTAAAATGCCATTTGGCCTGAAGAATGCTGGGGCTATATATCAGAGGGCTATGAACACTATCTTTCATGACCTCATTGGAGGATATTTAGAGTGTTATATTGATGACATTGTAGCGAAATCCCAATCCATGGAGGAGCATCTGTTTCACTTAGAAGCAGCTTTTGAAAGAATGAGAAAGTTCAAGTTGAAACTCAATCCTCTTTAGTGTGCTTTTGGCGTATCATCTAAAAACTTCTTGGGCTATGTAGTACACAAGAAAGGAATACAGATTGACCAGAATAAAGCCAAAGCCATCATTGAAGCCAGACCTCCATCAAGTAAGAAAGAATTACAAAAGTTCCTTGGACAGGTTAATTTCCTTCGAAGATTCATTTCTAATACTGCAGGGAAAACTAAAGTATTTTCTTCCTTGTTAAGGCTAAAAGATGAAGAGGAATTTGTGTGGACAACAGAGTATCAAATTTCTTTCGAAGGAATCAAAGCCTACTTGGCCAACCCTCCAGTGCTGATGTCACCAAAGGGTGATAAGCCCTTGAAGTTGTACATAGCTGCAGCAGAGGATTCATTGGGAGCTTTCTTAGCCCATGACAATGAAGAAGGCAAGGAGCAAGCTATTTATTACCTTAGTAGGTTTCTAAATTCTTGTGAATGTAAATACTCAGCTGTAGAAAAGTTGTGCCTTGCATTGTATTTTGCTGCAATAAAATTAAAATACTATCTTTTACCTACAACTGTCTTGGTAATTGCAACCACAGATTTGGTTAAGTATATGTTATCTAGACCTATGTTGAGGGGGAGAATTGGAAAATGAATACTAGCCTTATCAGAATTTCATTTAAAATATGTTCCCCAAAAGGCAGTAAAAGGACAAGTTTTAGCTAATTTTTTGGCAGACCATCCATCTCAAACAAAAAGCCAAGAGATAATGGAACTTAGTATGGCTAGTGTTGAACCATGGAAAATGTGGTTCGATGGATCAAAAGCCAATGGTCTAATTGGAATTGGTGTGGTAATTAAGTCACCACAAGAAATAGAAACCACACATGGTTTCAGAGTAGACGAAATTACTTGCTCCAATAATCAAGCTGAATATGAAGCCTTAATAATGGGACTGGAAATTCTCATTGGATTACAAGTTCATGCGGTTGACATATTTGGATATTCTCAATTGGTGGTTAACCAAGTGAAAGGGATTTTCAAATGTCAAAGTATAAGCATGTTGCCATACTATGTTGTTGCATTACATCTGCTTTCTCAATTTCAAATAGCAAATGTAACTCATGTCCCAAGATTCTTGAATAATAGAGCTAATGATGTGGCTCAGAAAGCTTCGAATTTCAAGAGAAGGGATAGTGCTCAAAGGGACATAAGCCAAACAACATATCAGAAATTAATACCACCCTTAAATAAAAAGAATATGGTCCTAGAAGTCAATCCAAGAGCAAGATTGGAGGCATCCAATAATGCAGTATCTGGCTGGCCCATCTTCAAAGGCCAGCAGAAGAATTAAATTGCAATCTATGCAATACATGATGTATGGTAATTCTCTCTACAAAAGGGGGGAAGATGGTTTATTGCAAGAATGTTTAGGTCCAAAAGAAGCGTTGACAGCTATGGCTGAGGTTCATGAAGACATCTGTGGTGCTCATCAGCCTGGTGTGAGGATAAGATGGTTGCTTCGAAGACATTCCTATTATTGGCCAACTATCCTTAAAGACTTCATAGAATATGCAAGAGGTTGCCAGGCATGTCAAAAACATGGCACAATAAGGCATGTGCCCATAACTGACCTGCATGCAGTAGTGAAGCTTTGGCCATTTAGAGGATGGGCCATGGATATGATGGGGAAAATACACCCACTCTCTTCGAAGCATCATTGTTTCATTTTAGTGGCCACTGATTACTTCACTAAATGTGTCGAAGCTAAGCCATACAAGGCTGTAGACCAGACTGAGGTCATTGGATTCATTAAGGATTTAATCTATAGATTTGGCATCCCGCAGACTATAACTGTTGATAATGGGACTGTATTTGATGGGAAAATAGTAAAGTCTTTTGTGTCAGAGTTTGGAATTAGCCTTGTTAATTCCACCCCCTATTATGCACAAGCCAATGGTCAAGCTGAATCATCCAATAAATCCTTGAAAAAAGGAATACAAAAGGTTGTGGAAGACAATCCTAGGGATTGGCATAACTTATTGTTGGATGTATTGTGGGCTTATAGAACTTCCCCAAGGTCAAGCACAGGAGTCACTCCTTATGCCTTGGTATATGGGCATGATGCGGTGTTACCTGCGGAAATTAATGTTTAGTCCTTGAGGGTAAGATGCCAAGACCAATTAGATCTTGAGCAATACCAACAGAGTACGTGCTTGGAATTAGAAAGTATAGATGAAGCTAGAATTCTAGCATTAAATAGCATTCTTTTCCAAAAGAAGAAAGCAGCCAAAAACTATAATAAGAAAGTCAAATACATTGGCTTTGATGAAAGTGATTTGGTATGGAAGACAATACTCCCAATAGGGATCAAGAGCCATAAGTTTGGTAAATGGTCACCTAACTGGGAAGGACCATATCAAGTTCATAGAGTCCTGCCTTTTGAAGCATACCATTTGAGAAATTTAAATGGGTATGTACATCCCAAAAAGATTAATGGCAGAAATTTGAAGCCTTATTTTCCAACCATTTGGGAAACACAAGGAATAGAATAGATGCTAAGTAAAAGAATATAAGAATATTCAACTGATAAATAAGAATTTGTTTTTCATAGAGAGTTGAATACATTTTGCCATAAATTGGCCAAGAAATCAGTACAATGCCTCAGTTATTCTTTTACAACGGATGTTCTATTCTTAAATGATGAAAACAACTGAATGGCTGTGGTCATTTCTTGATTTCGATCGGCCAGTCCTTGATTGGTAATCAGCAACTTGGTGTTAGTTCGGACTAAGGCCTGATTGACTGTAGATAGCTCCTCCTCAAGTTGAGCTTTTTTCTCCAATAGTTGAGTTCAAAATTGGGAGATAGAGGAATGTTGTTCCTTTAGCTCTGATACTTCAGCATGTACTTTGGAAACAAAGCTTTGGTCTCTAACCAATTTCTCTTTTGCAGCCTTGGCAGTATGGCAAATGTTGATGTAAAAGTCAATAGTGGCTGCTGCCTGAGATAAATGACTTGAGACATTCATGCCAGATTGCTCAATGATTTTGCAGCACTGAAGGAAGCCA